TGTTCACCGCAGCACTACTTACAACAGCCAAAAGACAGAAACAACCTAGATGCCCATCAACAGAAGAATGGATAACCAAACTATGGTACATATACACCAAGGAATACTATGCAACCCTAAAGAATACTGTAGAATCTGCAAAACACTCCATGATGTAGATGAACTTGGAGGACATTACGCTGAGTGAAATAAGTCAATCACAGAAGGACAAATATTGTATTAGTCCGTTATTATAAAAGTCAAAGAAAGGTTTATATACGGAAGGAAATTTTCTTTGTTGGTTACCAGGGGTGGCAGGGGAGGGGAGGGAACATTGTTAGATAGTTAGAGGTAAGTATTGATTTGGGTGAAGAGAAGGGCAATATACCAAATGTGAGTGATCCACACAGTGTCACTGAGGAAGAGGAAGACATAGAGAGGTGCATGGGAGGTACAGGCAACAAAAATGAACCCTTTTGCACATACAGTACTGCACTGTCAGTGAAGGCAAACACAAATATACAAGTGGACAGATGGGTGGACAGGCTAAACTATTAGGTATGTCTGCAGGGAGAAGTGTGCCCATCACCATGTATAGGGTTGGCAGGCAATATTTCTACAAGTGTATGTGTATGTTCTATAAGAATGCCCACGTATATAGCAGAGCTGACAAGGAACAAGGCTGTAGTGCCTTCTTGACCACAGCCAGCTCCCCAGAGGGAGCAAATAGTTGGACCTGTGGGCTAGGGACCATCGTCACAGGGGACATCAAGCTCAATTGGCATAAAATACTGCACAAAACATTGTTCCACCTCCTACTTTGGCGAGTAGCAACTGGGATCTTAAAAGCTTGCAAGCGGCCATCTAGATGCAACAATGGGTCTCTCCTCGTCCAGAGCAAAGAAGAATGAAGAAAACCAAAGACACATGGAAATAATTTGTTCAAGTGACTAGTACACCATGCAATCCTCAGCCTATATGACTATGAGACCAGAAGAACTAGATGGTGCCCGGCTACCACTGTCAATCACTCAGAGGAGGATCCATGTAGGAGATCCTGGACAGAGGGAGAACAATGTGGAACAAAACTCAAAGTTATTTAAATTAAAAAAAAAAAAAAGGACCAGGTTTGCTGGTCTGATAGAGCCTGATAGAACCACTGAGACTATGGCCCCTAGCTGCCCTTCAGGTCTGGAATTGAACCTACTCCCGTGGCTTCCATCCAAACAAAAGCCATGCATATGAGCTGAACATTTACACTAGGTAGATATACTCCTTGGAGAGATCAATCCTGGGAGAACAGAGGGGCTGTGTTTGCTCAGGGGGCAGGAGTGCATGGAGGGAAGGACACAGGGAAGAGGTGACTATGGGGAGGAAGTGGGAGGGGAGCTGATGCATTGTGGGAAATTGCAGTCAATGTCATGACACAAAGTGTATGTGAGCTGCTGTATGGAAAGTGAATATGCTCTGTAAACTTTCACCAGTATCACAATAAAAATTTTAAAAAATGGTGGAATTAGAATTACCATAATACCATTTGAGCCAGCAATCCCATTACTAGGTATACATCTTATAGAAATGAGAGCCAGGACAAGAACAGACATATGCACACCCATGTTCATCACAGCACTATTTACAGTAAGAAAAAGGTGGAAACACTGCCCATCAACAGAAGAATGGATAACCAAACTACGGTACATACACACAACAGAATACTGTGCAACCCTAAAGAAGTGTAGAATCTGCAAAACACCGCATAATGTGGATGAACTTGGAGGACATTATGCTGAGTGAAATAAGTCAATCACAGAAGGACAAATATTGTATTAGTCCATTATTGTGAAAAGTCAAGGAAAGGTTTACACATGGAAGGGAACTTTCCTTGTTGGAACCAGGCACGGGAGGGGAGAGAAAGGAAAACTGCTAGATGAGTCGGAGGGAAGGACTGATTTGGCTGAAGGGAAAGGCAATATACCAAATGTGGGTGACTAGCACAGTATTACTAAGGAAGAGAAAGACACAGAGAGGTGCACAAGAGGTCCAGACAACAAAGATCAACACTTGTACATACACAGAACTGCATTATCAGTAAGAACAAACCCTAATCTACAGCTGCACAGACAAGTGGACAGGCTGAATGACCAGGTGAATAGCTGGGTAGACCAGCTGAATGACCAGGTGTGTCTGAGCAAAAGGAATACACTCATGACCATATATAAGTTTGGCAGATGATTTTTCTACATCTGTATTTGTATGCACTATAAGAATGCCCAGACGGACATCAAGCTCAATTGTCATAACATACTATACAAAACACTGTTTCACCTCCTACTTTGGCGAGTAGTGACTAGGATCTTAAAAGCTAGCAAGCTGCCATCTAGATGCAATGATGAGTCTCCCCTCGTCCAGAGCAAAGACGAATGAAAAAACCAAAATTCATGGAAACAATTAGTCCTAGAGACTGGTACACCATCCAATCTGCAGCCTATACGACTATGAGACCAGAAGAACTAGATGGTGCCCGGCTACCACTGTCATCCACTTGGAAGGGGATCTATCTAGGAGATCCTTGATAGAGAGGGAGAACAATGTGGAACAAAACTCAAAATCATTTGGAGGAAAAAAAAAGGTGGGGACCAGGCTTGCTGGTCTGATAGAGCCTGGGGGAACCACTGAGACTATGGCCCCTAGCTGCCCTTCAGGTCTGGAATTGAACCCACACCTGTGGTTTCCAGCCAAATAAAAGACAGGCATATGAGTTGAACATTTACCTCAAGTAGATACACTCTTTGGAGAGAACAATCATGGGAGACAGCTCAGGGGGCAGGAGTCCGTGGAGGGATGGACACAGGGAAGAGGTAACTATGGGGAGGAAGTGGGCAGGGAGCTGTTGCATTGTGGTAAACTGTGGTCAATGACATGAGGCAAAGTATATGTGAACATGTGAATTGCTGTAAGGAAAGTGAATTCTCTCAGTAAATCTTCATCCAAATCACAATTAAAAAAAATGCCCAGACATATGTGTGTGTGTGTATACACACACACATATAATAGAGCCAACAGGGGCAAATTTTTAACTTCTTAGCCAGCCAAACCCACTGAAGTAGTGAGTTGTTGGGCCCTCAGGCTTGGGACCATGGTCACAGAGGACATGAAGCTCAATTGCCATGACACAGTGAGTAGTGACTGGGGTCTTAAAATCTTCCAATGGCCATCTAGATGCATCAACTGGTCTCTTTTCATCTGGAGCAAGGAAAAGTGAGGAATATCAAAGACACATGGAAACAATTAGTCCAGGGGACCAATGGGCCACAGGAACCTCTGCCTACATGACCCTGAGACCTGAAGAACTAGATGGTGTCCGGCTACCAGTACCAACCACTGAGAAAGGGATCAAAATTGGAGATCCTGGATAGAGTGGGAGAAAAACTCACAATCATGAAAAAGACCATGCTTCTTGGCCTGACAGAGCCTGGTGAAACTCCGAAAACTATGGCCCATAGTCACCCTTTGGGCCTGGAATTGAACTCACTACTGTGGCTCCCAGCCAAACAGCAGACAGGCATATGAGGTGCACATATACACCAGGGAGATACATTCCTCAGAACAATCACCCGTGGGAGACCAGACGGGCAGCCTCTGCACAGGGAGACAGCTCAGGGGGCAAGAGTGCATGGAGGGATGGACACAGGGAAGAGGTCACTATCAGGAGGAAGTGGGAGGGGAGCTGTTGCATTGTGGGAAATTGTGGTCAATGTAATGAGACAAAGTGTTATGTGAACTGCTGTATGGAAAGGGAATTTGCTTTGTAAATTTTCACCCAAATTACAATTTTAAAAAGAAATGCCTGATTGGTGGGGGTAAATACTTGCACTACAATAGTCATTTTCCTTGAAGGAAGTAAGTTAATGCTAAATGCCTGACAGTCAGTAGCGATCACTACAAACACCCCCTCCTCCTTTAGTTTCTCTTCAGATAACACAGGCCCTGGCGTCCTTGTATCCACCAGCAAGACGTGTCTTCAGTGGTCAGGTAAGTTCTAGGACAACAGCATTTCGATGAAGCTAGCCTCCGCGACACTGAGGTCAACGGGTAGAACACAGTCCACAAACACAGTTCTATATCCTACTGTGCTGAGTAGCGACTGGGGTCTTAAAAGCCTGCAAGCGCCCATCTAAGATGCAAACACAAGTCTCTGCACATCTGGAGTAAAGAAGAGTGAAGAAAATCAAAGATACACGGAAACCATCAGTCCAAGGGACCAATGGAGCACACGGACCCCATCATCCAGGACTCTAAGCCCAGAAGAACTAGATGGTGCCTGGCTACCGCTGCCGACAACTGTGAAAGGGCTCGCAACAGGAGGCCCTGAGTGGAATGGGGGAAACGTGGAACAAACTAAAAATCACAAAAAAAGACCAGACTTTCTGGTCTGATAGGGATTTGCAGACCCTGGAGACTGTGGCCCATAGTCACCTTTCCAACCCAAAATTGAGTCCACCCCTGGGGATGACCTTTCAGTCACATGACGGACTGCCCAATGAGGTGAACAGTAACACCAGGGAAGTGCACAGTCCTTAGAACAATCAACCTTGAGACCAAAGGGGCAGCACTGGCCTGAAAACAAAGCTTAGAAGGGAGGTCGGGGCAGGAAATAGGGACGAATGGAAATGCGAACCCAGGGAGGGAGGGGAAGAGAGTTGCTGTATTGTGGGAACTGCAACCAGCGTTGTAAGAGAAAATGTGCATGAACTGTCGAATGGAAAACTAATTTGCTCTGTAAAGTTTGACCCAAACCACAATAAAAAGCTCTTAAAAAAAAAAAAAAAAAAAAAACTCATGGTAGAACCTCAGCCTATGCCCAGCATTCGGTGTGTGGTGACCACACACGTGCTCGTGGACCACAGAGTGGACGCAGACCCACATGTCCAATGCTGGCCCCATGTGAGCAGCGCTCAACCATCTCAGCGGGGTCCCAGGAGCCCCCTGCACCGGGCACAAGGCATTACTCACACACTCACCGGCCAGGTGTCGGAGCTCCATCACAGATGAGCGAGTGTTCCTCCGCGTGCTCCTTTTTCTAGAAAGGACAGAAAATACGCATTTCTCAAGAAAGACACCATGACCGCTGCCGAGGTCAACTGCAGTTCCGGCGCTGTTGGTGCTGGGTGCCGTCCAGTGCATTCCAACCCACAGCGCCCCCAGAGGACAGGACGGAACTGCCCACGGGGTCTCCAAGGCAGTCAGTGTTCCCCTGAGCAAAGCCCAAACCACACCCACTGCCGTGGAGTCGATTCCAAACCACAGCGCCCCTAGAGGACAGAGTGGAACTGCCCACAGGGTCTCCAAGGCTGTCAGTCTTCACAGAAGCAAAGCCCAAACCACACCCACTGCCTTGGAGTCGATTCTGACCCACAGTGCCCCTAGAGGACAGAGTGGAACTGCCCCACAGGGTCTCCAAGGCTGTCAGTCTTCACAGAAGCAAAGCCCAAACCACACCCACTGCCTTGGAGTCCATTCTGACCCACAGCGCCCCTAGAGGACAGAGTGGAACTGCCCCACAGGGTCTCCAAGGCTGTCATCTTCACCACAGCAGATTGCCAGGTCTTTCTCCCATGGAATCTCAGGATGGGTTTGAACCGCCAACCTTTCAGTGAGCTTCTGAACACTTAAGTATTACACCACTAGGGCTCCTTCTCATTGAATGTCTGACAAATGTTGGCAGGGCCTGAACTGTGTCTTATCTAAACACAGGAACCAAGAGTTGAACAGGACCCACGATGCTGGGGGACATGAGGGATGGCTGGCTTTGCCTCTACAGTTTGTGTCTGTTCGTGCTGTGTGATAAAGTTATACCAGAGAACAAGCATTTCGGACACACAATACACACTAACACGAGCTCCCTGCTGACAGGGGGGCTGGGCTGCTCCAGGGCCTGTCACCTCCTGGGACTTTGCTTCTGCGAAGATTGACAGCGAGATGAGTTTGTCCCATGCCAGCTTGATGACCACAGGGCTCTACGGCCCCTGGGCTTGAGAGTCACTGCCCGCAAAGCCTCGCTTCACCCTCCTCAGGAAACATGACAGGTGTGGTGTGGGTAAGTCACACGACGGACACACGGCGCGTGCTCACTCCAGCGATTCCACACGAACTGTGGCAGCGGGACGAGCTCCCAGACTCCTAACCAGTGGCTGCATTTTCATCCTGCAGACTCCGGTGCCCGTGCACACGTCTAAGGGATCAGCGAAGGGCAATCCCAAGCCGACTTCCAGTCCCCAAGAGTCCATACCATACCTGCGCACCGCCGCTGCGCTCGGCACGGAAGCTGCTGGCTGCTTCTTACAGAACCTCTTACTGCTCCGAAGTACTTCTGTAATCTAAAAAATAAAACACAGAGATGGGCATCTGAGAGTGTTAAGATGCCATCGAGGTGGCTCTGACTCACGGCTCCCCCACACACAACAGAACTGAATGCTGCCCGATCTTGCTGGTGCATGTGAGGCTGCTGTTGCGCCCACGATGCCGTTCATGGTGTACTCTGGGTGCCTTCCTCCCAAGGACTCATCTTGTAGCATCGTGACGGACAACGTCCTGTTGACTCCAGGAGACGGGTTTCCCTGGGTAATTCCCAGAAGGACTGGCCTTTCTCCCTTTTGGGAAGCTCTGCTGGCCCTGGGTGACCCTGCCAGCATGTGAAACCCAGCACCATGCACACACGTCACAGTGCAACTATGGTGGTTATGTTTCTGTGTCAACTTGGCTGGGCCTGGCTGAGTGGCTGGGCAGCTGGTGGTAGTTATTCCCCATGATGAGACTGGAAATCAGCTCCATGGTGGGATCTACCACAAACAGCTGAGTGGCTGCCTTTGGGATGTGGTCTGCTTCCCGTATATAAGGAGAAGCCTTGGGAATGGTCTCTAGCCTGTGGCACACTTGGACTCTGCATGTAGCCGTGTCGTTGCTCAGCAGCCTGCCATGCTCTGCCGACCTTGGGACTTACAATGGACTTGAGTTAATGGCCTGCCGTGTGGTTTGGTAACATCGGGACTGTGCCTTTTCACTTGTCAACCTTGGGCTTGTCAACCTCAGCAGCCAGCAGCTGTCTGAGTGAAGAAACACCTCTAGCTCCAGTGGGCCGGGCGCAGGAGGCAGAGCTGGACCCCAAGGTTGAGGGGCTTTCACCCAACCCCTAGAGCCTGGCACTTTGAACTCAGACTTAAAGCCTCCAAATTGTAAGTATAAACCTGTTTGTTAAGGCCACCCCATTTGTGGTGTATTCCTGTCAGAGCAGCTCTAGGGAACCAGAACAGCGACCCACTGACAGGTGGTTGGTGGATACAGACGGGCAGAGAGACTGAGTAACTGGGAAGCGAAGGGTCCGGGAGGCACTGCAGTGCTCGTCTGCTGACTGAAAGGTCAGTGGTACGGGCCCACCAAGCAGTTCTGCGGGAGGAAGACCTGGCACTCAGTTCCTGTAAAGATGACAGCCTGGGTGACCCCAACAGCAGTTCTGTCACATGGGATAGGAGTGAGTCAAGAGTTGACTTGACAGCACCCGACAAGAAGAGACACGTAGATGTACTGACATGTGTACGTACAAATACACCACACACATCCTCAAATGCAAAAAAAGAAATGCATCTGCAGCCTTCCAGCAGCATCTACACAGACAAAATTCAAGGGTTTGGGAGTCGAATACCTGACTCATAACGACCGGAGGGATTTTCTCCCGGACACACTTGACGTAGTCGACTGTCGCCTCGAGAACAGAAGCCATATCATCCTTCCTCCCCGTCCTCTGTGGCAGGAGGGTACGCAGCTGCTCACAGCACTCTTTGATCCGTTCCCTGATTAGAGTTGGGATCAACAAGGAGTAATCAGCCTCAGACAAGGACAAATAGGACACAGGGTCAGGTTAGGGCTTTGCTTCTGTGAAGATCGACAGCCTTGGAGACCCTGTGGGGAAGTTCCACTCTGTCCTCTAGGGGCGCTGTGGGTCAGAATGGACTCCACGGCAGTGGGTGTGGTTTGGGCTTTGCTTCTGTGAAGA